TTGCAAATTTCAAGCCAATATTGAAACTCTACAACAATTGCCAAAACTCTGCTGAATATCTGTCTATGAACTGCATTGATGGTAATTGTATAGATTAAGAAAAGTACATGCTTTGAATAAGTAACACTAACACAACAGGGAGACACTTTCCATACAGCAACAAGACTTTAAAGGTAAACCATTTCCTCATGTTGGCTTTAATAGGAGAAAGGAAGGTATTATTTCTTTTTAGGTCTTCACTGGAAAAATATTTCAAAGAGGAGCTGAGATCCACACTTCCCTACTTTTCAGTCTCTTGAATCTGGCTTTCAGAGTAGCAATTAAGCAGATTCACACAGACATAAATATGAGATGACTTCAAACACATCTTTTAAATGCTGTACTTTTTAAAAACCTGCTGGCAATTAGAGTTTAATTCCATTCCTTTGTATCAATAAAAATAATTTTTATCATTTAGCCAAAACTAGAGAGATGAGTTGACACATTTTGAACCTTGGCACAGGTAACATTTAAATTAACACCCATGGAAACAGCAGCTCTTTGCCAAAATTAAATCCTTACACTCAAGCCACAATAGACTAAGGAAAATGTGAAGTACTTTTTCTTTTTTAAGCCTGGTTACCAAGCAATCTGTATAAATAATATTACTCTATAAGTGACAAGGTCAAAAACACTCTTAGGTCATAGCACAAACACTATTTTTTGCTTGAATAATATGAATTCCCAAAAGACGTTTATGGATATTCAATTAAAAACACAGAACATTTCATTTTCTAGTGGGATCTGACACTTTATGAAAGTCTTGTTATAATGTATTAGCAATGCAAATTACTACTCTGGTGTTCATGTACAGCATTTTTTACTTGGATAGCAAACATGTACAAATGCAGCAAAAGGACATAAGGCTATGTAAGTCCTAGTTTTTATTCCCCTATTTCCTGCCCCATCAATTTAATATTTTTTTTTCCAAAAAAGTCACGTATGATGTATGACTTCAGGGCCTGGCGCTGTAGCCTAGCTGCTAAAGTCCTCACATTGCATGCACCAGGTTCCATACAGGCGCTGGTTCAGTTCTGGCCATCCTGCTTCCCATCCAGCTCCCAGCCTGTGGCCTGGGAAAGCAGTGAAGCATGGTCCAAAGCCTTGGGACCCTGCACCTGCATGGAAGACCCAGAAGAAGCTCGTGACTCCTGGCTTTGGACTGGCACAGCTCTTGGCCATTGTGGTCTTTGGGGAGTAAATCAAGGGATGGAAGATCTTCCTGTCTCTCCTCCTCTCTGTACATCTGCCTTTCCAATAAAAGCAAAATCAATCTGTGAAAAAAGATGTATAACTTGAATGATGCTTATATTTTTAGAAAATCTGTGAACAACTACCAAACGACTGGGAGCTCAGAGTTCTGTAACAGTTATAGACAGACTGGCCTAAAGTTACGGCCCCATCATACAGAAAGGCTTCTGTTCACTCTGCACGGGCCTTTTCCTAGGTTCAGCTTGCTTACTTTTACACTAGAAGGAAAAATATAAGCTTTAAAGCAGGTCTGAACAAAACTAATTTAGATGGGTAGATCAGCTAACTACTTCTCCCTACTCAACCTGGCCTTTCTTTGTTCAACACAGTCTTCACTGTATCCTAGGAATATCAGTACGGAGGGAGAAGCTGCCAACATCCCCATTCAGGAAAACAGTTTTAACCTCAGACAGCAAAATGGTGAATATAAGGAAAACTTCAGATTTTTCTTTGTTTATATTCTCTTGAACAATCCTTTTGTCAAGCACTTTGAGGATGTTCACCCGACAAATGCTGAATACTGGAAAATGTTTACATTGAATTTCTATACAGTTTTCACATTAAATTTCCTAAAATGAAAATTTTCACATGGATTTTACCATTAAACAAGTAACAGAAGAAATCAAGACCCAGTTGTTTATATTTAAAATGTCCACATTGGGAGAATCAAGATGGCGGAATAGGGTAAGGACACGTTTAAATGGACAGAAAAACATCTAATCAGGATGAAGCAGAGAGGACACATTCCAGGAAATAGGAAAGGACAGAACAACAGCAGAGGGGTACCTGAAGACTGACAGACACAGGAAAGCAACAGACACAACGGTGTGGTGTTGCACTGACTGATACTCCAGTGGCATTCAGCCAACAGCAAACTGAACTCCATCAACAACCAGGTGGGAAGGGACTTTCACTGGGAGCTTGGGAGGTGAGCCCAGACAAAGAACAGTCCATCCTGCTGATCCATTTCATTTGACCAGGAGCAGAGACAGAGCAGCAGTTCCCAGACAGGCAGTGCGAGAACACAAAGCCCCAGCAGCCCCCTAGAGCAAAACTGGGCGCCATTTTGCTTAAGGAGGAAAAGGCAAGGGAAAGCACTGAGCATAAACTGAGCTGGGAGTGAACTCATTTCTGATTCAGTGAACTGCAGTAACATGGCATTTTACAGGTTCCACCCAAGACAGGTCTGGGTAGCCTTCAGATCTGACAGCCAGCAGATCAAGAACTCTAATAGTGTTATGTCAGGCATCATTTTGTACACTGTGGCAATAGCTTTAGAACTGCAGGGGACAACAGTGAACTGCACATGTGCTGAGCTTACAAGAACTCATGGAGGTCCATGGATTGCACTGGTCCTGCAGGAAAATACTGACTGTGGCACCATATGGGTCAAAATAGGTTCATGTGGCACCCAGACCTAACATCCAACAGATTCCAGCAAGATCAGTGCCACCAACAACCTAACTATATAGGACGCCTTGTGTCTCTCTAATCCTGGGACCTGCTCCAACCAAAAGTGAGAGAAAGGTTGCAGAGACTACGGTGCAGCCTCAGCCCGGTATCACAGGAGGTAGAGAGTGGTGAGCCAGGAGCTGGGGCTGTGGAGACTACATGGAAATCTAACATAAGAACCCAGACCTGGAACTCGCTGGAGGTTGTGGCACAACTGGCTGCAAGCAATAAGTTGTGTACCAACTGCAATAAGTAAAATCACATTGTAGACCTGTGGGTGACACAGCTTAGAAACCTGCACCAAGGAGAAGACTCTGATAACCATAAGTACAATGACGAAGAGGAAAAGAAGAGACAAAGGCAAGATGAATATCACTGAAAACTTCCCTGCAAAGGAGCAAAACCCTATGCCAACCTCAGAGTTAACTGAGGAAGACATTGAGAAAATGGGGCACACAGAATTCATAAGACTCATTTTAAAGCTTATGAACAACAATGAGAAGCACATACAAGAGTTCAAAGAATTTAAGGAAGCAACAAAGCAAATCAAAGCTGATATATCAGAAATTAAGAACACAGTAGAGCAAATTAAAAGTACAATGGAGAGTCTCCAAAATAGAATGAAGTAAGCAGAAGAAAGAATCTCAGAATTGGAAGATATTTCCTGTCATCAGGGGAAAGCAAACAAAAAGCTGGAAGCAGAGCTGGATCAGGCCAAAAAATGTATTAAAGAACTGAAAGACACTAGTAAGAGGCCAGGCCAAATATAAGAGTTATGGGAGTCCCAGAAGGTGCAGAAAGAGAAACTGGTTTTATAAATATATTTAATGAAATAATCAAGGAAAATTTCCCTAATCTAGAGAAAGAATTGGGAAACAGGATCCAGGAAGGGCACAGAACTCCCAACAGGCTTGATCAAAAGCGATCTTCACCAAGACACATGATCATCAAGCTCTCTTCAATTGCACATAAGGAAAAGATACTTAAATGTGCACGTGAAAAAAATCCACTGACATATAAAGGAATGCCAATTAAACTCACAGGAGATCTCTCACAGGAAACTCTACAGGCAAGAAGAGAATGGCGTGACATATTCCAGATTCTGAAAGAAAAAAATTGTCGACCTAGGATAACATAACCAGCAAAGCTTTCTTTTGTCTTTGAAAAATAAATAAAATTCTTCCAAAGTAAAGTTAAAAGAATTTGCCTCTTAAAAACCTGTGCTACAAATGATATTTCAAGATGTTCTCTTGACAGAGAAGAGGAATAGCATCAAACAAAACCAAAGGCAAATGGGAAGAACATCCCAATAAAATGACAATGGAAGACTAAACCAAGGAACAACCCATTCCTAAAATGACAGGACCAAAATACCACTCATACATATTAACCCTGAATGTAAATGGTTAAGCTCAATCAAACGTCATAGATTAGTAGACTGGATTAAAAACAAAACCCATCTATTTGTTGCCCTGAAGAGACACATTTCCCCAACAAAAACCAGCGGAAACTATATTGCATGGGTTTTGATGTTTTTGGTTAGCTTCATCTCTTCAAAACACTTTCTTCTAATTAAATCATTGAGTGACTCACAGATCACACAGTAGCATTATGTTCTTCAAGAAGGTTCTTGATTTTCATTTCTTCAGCTACACGTTAGTCATTTAGTAGCATGTTATTTAACTTCGTGGGTGGTGTTGTTAATTTCTTTTTTCTCCCTGATGTTGATTTTGTTTTATGGTTTTTCATTTAAGGGGATGTATAGTAGCTGTGTAATGGAGACTGTCATATCGAGCAACATGCCATTTAACTCCATGGCATTGTAAATTTCTATTTTTCTTTCTGTTGTTGATTTTGTATTATGACTTTTTATTTGAGGGGATGTAAAGTAGCTGTGAAATGGAGACTATCATATTCAGATGTGAGGATACAATGTAGTACGTATTTCTATTTCCAGAAACAATGAAACTGTTTACTATATTTTGACAATAGGATGCTGGACTCTCTGCCATTGTCCATGCCCGCAATGATGGACATATGACTGTGTATGAAGAACTATATTTTAGTAAGGATATAGAGGAACTAGGTGGGGTGGGGGGAAGGAATACGGGGAGGGTATATGGGAAATGCCAGGAGCCTATGGAATTGTATCATAAAATGATAATAATAAAATGTAAAAAAAATTAAAATGTCTGCTTTGCAATTCATTCCTTTAATTGTATTAATATTCATTTAATTGTGGTACTATTACACAGTACCTCACGGGTTTCCTTTCTCGAAGCAAATCTTCCAGACTCCGTTCACAGTGTTCGGCCACCACAACCAGTCTTTCTGGGTAAAAAACAAACAAAAAAATCTACTTTGTATTTGATTAATAGAATAGTTTAATAATAAAAATAAATAGCACTGAAGACAGTAACATATAGAAGTACTTTAAACGATCTTTCCAAACTTGTATCAATCGCATCGTTACCAAGTAGAATAATGTGTAATCAAACAAGATTAAAGTAAAATAGGTTTTTCATTGTGTTTTCCTGTATAGCTTCCCTTATGTGCTTCCCGAGAAACAGATGGAATGGCTGTTTAGAAGTGACTTTTTCTAAAAAAAAAGTTACTTTTTGGAAAAAGTAACAGATTAGATGATGATAAAGAGAAAATTTTGAAGGGATGGAGAAATTGTAGAGCTAGGTATAGATTACTTATTTCAAAAACAAGGCCTTTGAAACTGAGTGTAGAAACTTGAAAGAAGTAGAAGTATTCTAATCATGACTGTGGACAAAGAACAGAAAATCAACTTGTTCTTAGTTTAACATCAGGGGGCCTGCTGCAATCAAACACAAATGGCAGCAGACACAGGGAACAACGTGGTGGAATGCTGAACACCCCAAGTCCCACTCTGAGAGTGACAGCACAGTCTGAAGGCTCCACCTCGGCTTCTGTTTCCATCATACAGTATTCCAGTAACTACCACAATGTCTGACAAAGCAGAGTCGACAGAATTAACCTACAGGTTCGCCCCTCATTCCCAGAAACAAACAAAAAAAAGTTGGGAACTCAATAAAGTTATTTTAGGAGTTTAAAAGAAATTGGGATGTTGTATTTAGAAAAAGTTGGTACTAAATTACATAAACACAAAATATGCAAAATTGAGACACAATAAGTAAATAAATACATAATGTGCTTGAGAAGAATGGTAACGCAAAAGATGACAAGGAGGGCATTCAGAATAAGAGATCTGATACATATATATATGAGATACATAACAACATATATATAACATAATTGATATATATGATATATATATATGATAATATAACTCAGCACCAGCTGGTGCAAGGTATGGCTCCACATGTGAGAATAGAGGAAAGAACCATGGGGTATAAGCAGTCACATAAGGTATAAAGTCAGATATTATCACAGATAACAGGTTAGTTGAAATTGTCTGAGGCGGCATAATAAATATAATCTGAAAAATCAAAACCAAACCATTTAAAATGTAAGTTCAATTAAATAAAAAGAAGGTAAAATTAAACAGCTGAAGATTAAACTAGATAGGCAATTTAATGGGAATAGTCCACAGAAACCAATAAGACAAATAAATAAATTTAAAGGGTTATTTAATGAAGAAAAAAATGCATAGAAGTTTATATTCTTCAATCAATAAAGAACATGCAAAGTTAAATTCCAATCAAGTAATAAAACTGCAATGCTCTCTAGTGATAAAAAAAATTGAAAACTCAAATATAGAAAATTAATTTCCTCCACTTTCCATCTTGTCACATTTTGTCAATTTTTCTTTAGTAAAAAGTGTAAGATTTATACGATCTGAAGAGAAACCAGAGTATCTGTCAGTTTGTCTTACACCTCCCTGACTCCCTTCCATTGGTCTGCTGACTAGAACAGCATCTCTTCCACGCAAACTGAACTGTTTCCAGTACCTCTGTATCGGTTTGGGGATGTTGCTGCATTTTCTTCCTTGGTATCATTATCTAGCAATTTGCTCTAAGTAGAAACTTATGAGTCATTTCCCTTTCACAAAGCCAGGCAATGAGTTCTGCTATTTCTATTTCTCAAATGTTCCCAGAATACATACTACTAGTTCATCTATCATAATCTGGATAAAAGCCAGCATCATCTGAGTACTGTTACAATCTTTTAATATGTCTTTTCACATTAAACCTTATTCTCTTCCATTATATTTTCACACCAAAGCCTAAGTGATAAAATAGTAATAAAAAGCCTGGATATGGAGCTCCTGCTTTTTTTTTTAATCTTTAAGAAGTTCATCAAATTTTCAGTCACATTGACTTCACTTCCCCTTTTCCGCCCTAGCACACACACTTGCACGCAGGGTTCCTTATTGCTCATAATGTTCCCCCTAATTTCTTCTCCCAGGAAACTGCTACCATGTAACATAGAGATCAAGAGCACAGATTTCTTTGGTCTGGAATCAAGCCCCAATTTTTGTTATTCATGTTACATGAACTTTGGTAAGTGTGTTAACCTCTCTCTGTCACATTTCCTCTTCTGTAAGATGAAGAAAACAATAGTACTCGCACAGGGTTGTTGGGAGGTTGAAATTCTGAAATAATATATAAAGACCTACAACAGGAGCTGATACATAGAAGGCATATAAGTGATAGCTTTTATTACTCATTCTTCAGGCTTCAGATAAATGGGACTTCCTCAAAGAACACATTTCCATCCTCTTAAACCAGTTCCTGCTCCTACCGTGTGTTGTATTTTACACCGTGCTTTTGCTATGGAGTACTTCTTTGAAGGATATGTATACATTTTTTGTTCAATATTACCTCTACTAAGCAGTATGTTTTGCACTGGCAAGAATAATATTGGTTTCATTTAATACTGCACACCTGCACCATCAGCTGAAACAGGCATGTTACATAGGTATAGTTGTTAAATGAATCAACTTAAGACCTGAAACAGCCGTTAGAAATGCAAAAGCATTAACTTTCAGCACAATCATAATCTTCTGATCCGAACTCAGACGCGTCATCCACTGTGCCACTGGCCCCATCTATCACAATCATAAACTAAACAAAGATTTTTTGTCCTGTATAAAACATTGCAAAGAGGTTTTGTTGTCTAAATTTAATATCACCTCAGTAGTACAGATTTTACGATAAGAGAAAATCATCAAACTTTAGTACAATGTGCATGTTTCATGAACTACCCTCTTTTTACTGGATATCCATAGTCTCTATATCATGAGGAATGTTCAGGAGTGTTTGTTCAGCACTTGACTAATCTTCGTCAGGTTTCTCCCGGAACCCTTTTAAAAGTATCACCAATTAGGATTTGCCAATGGTGAAAGATTCTACAGAACTTTTTTAAAAAAGATTTTTATTGTAAATGCAGAGATACAGAGAAGAGGAGAAACAGAAAGGAAGGTCTTACGTCTGATGGTTCACTCCCCAAGGGCTGCAATAGCTGGAGCTGAGCTAATCTGAAGCCAGGAGCCAGGAACCTCCTCCAGGTCTCCCACATGGGTGCAGGGTCCCAAAGCTTTGGGCCATCCTCAACTGCTTTCCCAGGCCACAAAGCAGGGAGTTGGATGGGAAGACAGCCCACCGGGATTAGAACCAGCACCCATATGGGATCCTGGCGCATGCAAGGTGAGGACTTCAACAGCTACATTATCGTGCCGGGCCCTCTACACAACTTTTAAACATTAATTTAATATGGAAAATCCAGAACACTTGGCAGGGTATGGAAATTTCTCCCTGAGGCCAAGGAATGAATATCAAAACACTGTTTCCAACACGAACATGTTTCTCTCAAAAGTCATTAGAGAATCATCTTTTTGAAACCCTGGATCAGTATATGAAAACAACTTCTGTTTGCTATAAAAACAATATACTTTCACAAAATAAAGTATTTGGAAATCATAATGTGCCAAAAATAAATCAGCAATGCAGTGGCATCATTTATGAAAAACAAATGTGACATGGATTTGAACTTTAGAGAGCAGAACATTCATGGACTAGGGAAAAATCTTCCTTGTCAGAAAGACTTGTGACTGCCAAGTAGCAAGTAGTATGATTAGCCTGAACTGTAGGAATAAAGTCAATGAGAAGAAACTTAAAATAATATATAATTAAGCAAGAGATAAAACAACGGATTTTTAAAAAATCAAAAGCAAAGCGTTAGAGCTAGAAGAAAAAACCTGTTTTACTAATTTGGAGCAAAAAGCATGAACTATGAATATCTTAAGTGTGATTGGAATACAGTATTCTTCCAATATTTATTTGAAGGCTATGTGACAGCAATTTATACACACATAATTCCCAGAGTCAGGGATGGAGAGAGGGAGAAAAAATGAGTGAATGAGTGAGTGAGTGAGAGAGAAAGAGTGAGTGAGTGAGACAGACAGAGAGAGAGAGAGAGAGAGAGAGGATGGGGGGGGGTGGTGAGAGACAAGTTTTCCATGCTCCTGTTTACTACTCAAATGGTTCCAAAGCCCAGGGCTGGCACAGTCTGGAGGGCCATCTGATTCTCCAATAAGGATAGGGTCCCAAATACTGAGGCCATCCTTCAATGCTTTCCCAAGCACATTATTGGAAGCAGAGCTAGCTTAGAACTGGAATATTGGGGCCCAGTATGACTAAATCTCTGCCTTGCATCTATAGGGATCCCATATGGGTGCTGGCTGGTGTCCCGGATACTCCCCTTCCAGCTATTCCCTGCTTGTTGCAGGAGAGGACGGCCCAAAGCCGTGGGACCCTGCACCTGAATGGCAGACCCAGATGAAGCTCCTGGTCCCTGACTTCAGCTCAGCTCAGCTCCAGTTGCTGCAGCCATGTGGGGAGTGAACCAGCAAATGGAAGATCTTTCGTCCTGTTTCTTCTTCTCTCTGTAAATCTGCCTTTCCAATAAAACACAATAAGTCTTAAAAAAACAAAGTGGGGCATTGGAGACACTAAGTGGAGGTACGACAGGCTGCTGACAGGTTAGCGGGCTTGCCACAACGCCAACTCCTTGAATCATTGCTTCTATATATTTTATTTTTATTTACATTAATGATTTAATATAAAATACAGGTAGGATATTGAGAACGTTTAAAAAAAAGTTTACTTGAGTGACAGTGAAAAAGAAAAAAAAAAAAAGAGAGAGAAAGAGTAACCTCACCTGATGATTTACTTTCTAAACACCCATAAAGCTGAGATTGGGCCAGGCTGAAAATCAAAATGAGATGATCGTTTAAAAAAAAAATAAAGTATTTAAACTACCAGAAAAATATCTTAAATAAGAAGTAGCGTTTCTTAAAAATATTAACCACTATTGGAAAGAGAGTCACAGAGGGGAGGAGA